GCCCGGCGGAGCCGCCGGCCACAGGCACCCGCGGTGACTCGGATGTCACTTGCTCCCGGGGCGGCCGCGCGATCCCGCTCTGGCTCCTTGGCTCCTCTCTCCCCAGGCCCCGTCTCTTCCCACTTTTTTTTTTTTTTTTACATTATTCCTTTTTTTTTCCCCCCGAACACCTCCCTGAGGAACGCGGGGAGAGGAGGAAGCACAATTTCCCATTGTGAGCGTCTTTCTCTTTATTGTTCTGCTCGGCAAAACAGAGCGGGCCCTGCTAACAAGCGCGTCTTTATTCGCCCGCTGCCGAGCCGGAGAATCCAGGGAAAATGTCAGCATCGCGCCGGGCTCCGGCCGGAGCCGCAGGGATGTGGCGTGAAGAAACACAGTGGATTCAGCCCCAAATCCCTGGCGTGGACTATGCAAGAATTTGCAGACTTCCAAATCCAAATGCATCACGGCTGGGACCTTGGAGCGCTGTATGAGGATGCTGCTGGCTGCCAAACGGCTACGCAATGGGACTGTGCTGGATTTTCCTGCCTTTTTTCCCTCAAGAGAGGCTCCTAACCAAACTACAGCCCAAAGCAGGGCCTCGGATAGCCCAAACGTGACTCATTCCCACGCGGCGCCTCCGCCACTTCCCCATGCCGCTTGCTCCGTGCAGAGCCCCTGGCTCCCTTTTGGTTATCTGAGTTCACAAATTGGCCCGGCTCTTTGGAAAGAAACTTCCCCCAGCACCAGCCCAGCAAATGTTTTATTTCATTTGTCAGCGCCTTTTGTTTCCTCTCCCTTTTTTTGTGTTTCGCAAAAGCAGAGGCAGCCAAAGGAAAGAAAGTAGGAGGAATAACGGTGAGGATGGTGCAGGGGAAGGGGAGCCTGGATGAAAACGAAGCCCTGCCTTGGGCCTGTGCCTTGTTTTCCACAAGGATCTTCTCCTCCGGCCTCTGCAGACCCCGGATACCCTCCTGGGAGCTCCAGACAAGTGGGGACGGGTCTGGCTCAGGGTGACACCACGGGAATGGGGATCCTATCGGAACAGGGTCCAGCGCTTGGGAGCTGCCCCAGCACGGCGCCGCAGATTCATGCAGTAGATTTGGGGGAAATCCGCTCACTTTTTCTCCATTTCTTGGCCGTGTGGGAGGATTAAGCCGCCCCACAGCAGAGCTTTGCAAGGAGCAAAGCGGAGCTCCCCCGCGGCACAACCGGCGGCGGAGGCCGGAGCGGGCTCTTCCGGCCGCCGCGGCGTGCGGAAGC